CAGCTGCTTCTCTCCCATAGTTCTCCATTTACCTAGCATTTATCGACTAGCCAGAACTGGATGGCATTTAAAGAAATGAATGGCAGTAAAAGACATCCTTGTCATGCAACAAACTCTGTAGCCAGGGAATCCTCACAATAAGCATCATCCCCATTTGATGGATAAGTAATCAAGGTTCGGGGACTTGTCAAAGGTCACATAGCCTGGAGGTGAAAGATTGGAATTTAAATGCAGTCCCAAAGTCTGGTACTTGCCCTCTCAGACCCATACTCACTACTCATTCTCCTGGGTAGCCAGACTGGTCAGAATCTCAGTACCATATGTGACCAGATGAATCACCCTAACTCTAAATACCCAGCCAAGTGACCATTTGTCACCCTCATTTGTGGAAACGAAAGAGGGGTTGTTAAGACTTACAGGTCCCTGCCTGAGTTAGGAGAGCTTGCTCTTAATAGCCAGCTAGGAGAGCCATGCCTGGATTTCTGCAGAAAGCCTGTTTTCAAGCCAGCATCCAATGCATAGGCTCAGGAGGACCCCCTCCTCCCTGCCCTTCCTTAAGCCCCTAATATGAGTTCCAATTTCCTATTAATCTTTATCCCCAGAATTTTATTCCCAGGATTATCCTCACTCAGGGAAGAAACTGAAGGTTGGAGTTAGTATAAAAACATGTGTTTCTCATTAGATTGTCTGGAGCACGAGTTATAACCTGCCTAACTTCAACCCTTGAAATAGAAACACAGCACGTCGTCTGAAAAATAAATTAATGCTATATTCCCATTATGTCCCTGATGGCTCAAGATCTCTGGCTCCCTACTGATTCATCAGACCCAAAATAAATGCCACAGTCTGGCACTCAAGGTCTTCTGTCAGCCTTGTTGCCAGCTGTCTCTATTCAAGTCTGGTTGCTCCCCCAAAAGTTCTGGGACTTGGCAGGCAGGCCGCCCCTCCCCCAACACCTCCCCATCTTGGTGCCTTGGCTCATGCCTGAAACACGCTCTCACCCCTATGCTCCTCCTCTAACGCCGTCATTTAGGACTCAAAAGAAAAGATGCCAATAAGCCCTTCCTGAGCAGTCTCTAGGCCTCTATTTCTTTTTGTTAGCACGTATTCAGTAGACCGACATGTACTCAGCACCCCCATAAGTCATCAAGCCCTTCTTCGACCAACATCTACTGAGCCTTTTTTGTGTGCTTGGCTCTGTGCTAAGTGTTTCGCATACCACCCTAACGCTCTGCTTCCCTTTATTAGAAATCTCAAAAAAGTTGTTTATACTCCTGTCTCAACTCCTGTCCTCTCACCCTCTTTTGAGTCAACTGAGGTCACCTCCATGTTGACAATGCCACTCCTCCAGATGGCCACGTTCGACCCCTCCTCTCAGCCCCTTAGACTCCTTCACTCCTCGAGAGGTTCCCCTGGGGGAAGAACCTTTGGAGAGGCTCTGTCCTGCTGCCTTCCACAGGGTTCATACGCAGACCCTGGACACAACAGCCATTGTCTCCTTCGGTGGGCCTGCACCTCCCTCTAATGGGGCCGCCTCTCCCACTCTGCACCAGGCAGGTGCGGCCCCATGAATGCCTCTTGCTGCTGGACTCCCAGGGGAGAGCCAGACACAGCCTCTCCATCCCTCCAGAGAACATGTGTCCTGCTTTCCACATAGCACCCTTGAAGCCCGTCTCACCTGGCTCGAGGTGAGGGGAGTGCACCTTCATGCCTCCCATAAGCCAGTGGGGATGGAGAACAGAGAGCACACAGGTACTGACAAGTCTCTTCAAAGAAATCCTCAGTTTCCAATCTCTTGTCAACTGCAACTTCTCCATGGGCTAGAGCTGGGTGATGAACCAAGCACAACTCCAGGCCTTCCCTTTGGAAGTCTTACACAGAAGTTCCAGCCCCCACCCCACCACCACCTTGGAATGACACTGGGGTTTGCCACCAATCATTTTACTACTAGCCTTTGAAGCCTCTGCTGCTACTCAGAGAGCAAAGGATGAGTTACAGTTAAGATCCTGTTACAAACATTTGTTGAATTGAATACCAAAAATGGAAAATGACAATATATGGCCCCAAATGAGGTACACCACTCTTGAGACAAGTCCAGAAGACCAACTCTGTTAAGAAAAAAAACCTATTTGATGAATTCTTAAGCTCCTGAGATCTTAAACTTTCTTGGCAAGTTTCTTCTTCAACCAGAAAACTGGTGACGAAGCTAAGATTCTGTCCATGGCTGAGTATTGCTAGAGTCCATACTACTAACCACCTCACCCTGTTGTTTCTTAGGACACCTCGAAATATCCTAGTCTTTCTTAGCAGGAAGAAGACACACTGACCACTAACAGCTGTGTTAGATGGTGCTGCTCTGAATGAGGTAACAGTGATTTTTATTAACTTTCAGATATAAAAATTAACTTACTTGAGGAACAAAAGAATAGATGTTGTCACATAAACTATTGGAGCTATGAGAACCCGAGGACAGCTTAGCTTATGTGACATGCCTATGTGGGTGTCAAGGTGCCAAGATTTAGCAGGATTGCTTGTAAAGTTTTACAAAGCTAGAGCCATAGGGGTAAGAAAAGCTGGAGAACACAGAAACACAGTAATGGGTCACCAACCTTAAGTTCCCATAACCTTCAATTCTAATGGACATTTCTTTGTTTCAGTGGAAATTTTAATTCTAGTAAATTTATAAAAGAAAGCAGATATTATAGTGCTAATATCATGCAAAAGAAAGCTAAAGATAAGAATCATTAACAATGAACAGGGACAAATATATTTTCTTCTTTCTATTATATTCAATTCATCAAGAAGATAAAACAATTATAAATTTTAATGCATTAACACAGTGGCATCTATCTGTGTAGAATAAAAACTAATAGAAATAAAAAGAGAAATAAATATCAGAGTCATAGTCAAAGAACATAAGACACCCACCTCAGAAATCATCATATTATATAAACATTAATAGGAATGTAGAATATTTGAATACTTCTCATGGAACATTTATGAAGAAAAGCACTATGTTTTTTAAAAAACAGAAAAAAATACCAACATAAAAAGGATAATAAAAGAAAAAAGAATAAAATTTATTTGGAAATTAACAGATGTTCTAGATAATTTTGGAGATAAAAAGAAAAGTAAAAACAGAAGTGGAAAAATTATTCAAAAGTGAATGATAACGAATGATAATGAAAGCACTCTATGCATCAAAACCTGAGGAGGCAGACGGAGCAGACTTGGATGAAGGACGACTCCTTGCCATTCCCTGAGCTTCCAGACTCCTTACTCTAGAGCTGCCCCATCCGATGCAATGGCCACTGTCTCCATGGCTGGTTAAATTTAAATTTGTTAAAATTAAGAATTCAGTTTCCTACTTGCACTGCCCATATTTCAAATGCTCAGTAGCCACAAGTGGCCAGAAGTTTCTGTATTGGACAGCACAAATTATACAAAATTCCCATCTTTGCAGAAAGTTCTGTTTGGCAGTGCTAATCCAGACTTTGCCAGGGAAATTCCAGTGGGTCAACTTCATTGACTATAGACTGCACCGGGTCCAGGTTTCAATGGACCAACCTTGTAGACTATGCACACCATCCCCAGATGCTCAAGCCAAATACAAAGCCTAGAATCTCAGGGAGGTAAACTCAAATTGATAAATGGGGCTCAATCAACTCTTCCACTTCACTTTAGTGGTAAAACACTTTTTGAATTTATTCACATCCATGCTCCCCACATTCTTGCCGATACTGATTGGTGAGGTCTTGCAATTCTTTTGGTGTATCGATTTCCCTTCCCGCCTCAGGTCTTGTACATCCTTGCCTGGGCTATTATTGGGATCTACTCTTGCTATGAACATGGAAGTAATAAGGGTGGTGGGAGTGAGCCCTACAAAGACTGGTGTCCCCAGGTAACAGAGTTCTCCCAGGTGCAATCATTGAAAGGTATTTCTACAGAGGAAGACTTTATCTCTCAGCTGAGAGGAGAGGTTTTTTTTCTTCTATCAGAAAAGGAGGTTCTATAGAATTGGGGAGTTCAGAGTTCTCAGCCTCACCTGTTTCCCTGTCCTGTGGTCAAGCTGAGATTTCCTTAGGAAACAGCTTCCCAGGAACTCAGTGCCCACAGACTCAGGACTGTCTGCCAGTTTTGCTAATCATTCACCCCCTTTGGCTTCCTTCTNCTGCCAGTTCTGCTAATCATTCACCCCCTTTGGCTTCCTTCTTGGCTACTTGTGGGCAGTGTCTGGCTTGGGATGGGCGATTCTTATCTTTAAAGTCGAGATCAGGATGTTCATGTTTCAATGAACATGTAGTGTTGGTGTGTGGCCAAGGAGGGGGCCTGAGCATCCCAGATGGGACCTTAAGTGGGGCTACTTGTCCTCATTCAGGCCACTTTTGACTGTTGGGTCATCACTGTTGGGTCAGTGCTGCTGTTTTCTCTCCTCTTCTGGCCACTGGCTCACAGATGCCAGGAATGGTCAAGTGGAGACAAATGTGGCGGTCAGGAAGTGAATGCTATCTGCTTGTCCCTCAATGTCCACTATGTCCCTTAGACCCACAGCTATGATGTTTGGAAATAACACTACTAGTGACCCAAAACAGCCACTTCTGACACCTTCAGTTCATTCTAGGTAGAACTGGGCTACTCAGAAACATGTAGGGGTTCTTCGTGATGATAAATACTTAGCAGAGCAATGGACTTTGCTGCACAGAGGGCCATGTCTCCTCAGAGCAGCTCAGTGATTTCCGAGAACAAAGACAAGAACCAAAGAGAAGAGCAGAGCTTTCTGCTCCATGGTCTACTCCACCACAGGGTCGTACTCGCAGCTTCCCACTATAACTCCTCTCCCTAAGCATTCAACTCATTGAAGTTTTCTGGATGTTCTAGCTAAAAAGGGAAAAATTGGGGCTAACAAAGTCACTCCTTTCTATGCAATAGCCCCACGTTTTCTTCTCTTCCTCCTGCTCCACCCACTCTTCTCCTCCTCCTCCTCCCTTCACTCCTCTCTTTAGAGAACAACACAGATGCCAAAGCTCTTCCTTTTCTGTAACAGAGAAATCGAAACTCAACTAATCAGGGGGGAATTTGGACTGGAATCCTGGTCTCTCAATTGCCAGCCATTATTTTTTTCATTTCACAACCATGCCTTCCTAAAGCTGAGGTTCTACAGCAGAATGTTCACAGTGACTATCGTCAGGCTTGGAATTGCAGGTGCTTGTTTTTCTCTAATTTTTTGCTTATGAATTTTTCCAAATGTTTCTGCAAAGGCAATGTATTAATTTTTCAGTAGTCATCTAGTGCTTAGAACACTTTCTACAATGGCAAATGATAATTTAAGAGAAAATAACGCTGATGAGCTAATTCACATTAAATACAAGTAGATCAATAAATGTACTTGTCTCAATATCTCTATATTTTAATAAGAAATTACACTTTAACATCCCAAAATTGATCCCAAAGGTGGCTTTTCAGGTCCAACTATTGTCCAGTGGAGATAGATTTGGAGGCAGGTGAGGGGCTTTCCTGGTGGTTCCCCAAATCTGTTACAGAAGAATGAAGAGGTCAGGTAAGGCTTAATATGTATATGTGTGAGCTCACCTCCAAATGTTTATAAACTTTTCTGTTCAGAAACAATATATTGGCTTACAATATATGAACAAAGATATCAGTGAGGAGTCTTAACAGATGTATAAATATTTATAAGGAACCCAGGCTTTATCTGGATAATCTCCATGTTCACACACCTCTCCACTGCTCCTCTAAGCACTGGAGCAGAGCAGAGAAAACTAAGCCATGGGAGAGAAGGACAACTACGACCAAAGACATCTCAAATGCCCAAACACAGAGCTCATGAGAACACACATTCTCACAGGTACACACCAGGAAATATTCATCTTCCTTCTTTGACAGAAGTCAGTTAGTTCCCAGTGTACTAGAATGGAATGTAGTAATGAGACCCACCTCACCAAAAGTGTAGGCTTCTGTCCAGAACTTTCCATTCTGCCTGGGAGCAGTGGGCAGAGAGAGATAATAAAAGTAGGGAGAAGTTAGCTCTTTATATGCAGCCCAAAACTTGAGGGGGTCCTCAAGAGAGAGGACAGAGAAGTTCTGAATTCTCTTCTTCACTCCTTAGTCAGAAAGATCATTGGGAACTTTCATGGGAAAGTTCAATGGTCATTTATACCCAGGGCTATATCTTTTCTCTTATGGACTGTATCAGGCAACAGTGGTCTTTAAGGCCATGATAGTCAATGACTCTCTCCTGTATCCTTCATGTTCTCCAAGAAATAAGGGAATATGGGCCAGGTTGTGGGAAATATCCTACCAAAGTTTGTTGAAAATAGTGACGGGTTCCATCTTAACGCTTTATGTGGTCTTCTGTCTTGATGATGGGATGGTGCTGATGAACAGGGAAATACCACCAAGATTTATGTACCCCAAAGAGTGGCAGCACCTCACCATGTTCATCCTCCTCACCCTCAGTGGCTGCGTAGATGTCACGAGCAAGAACTTGCTGCCTCAGAGGTGTGTGCTCCTAGAAAAAGGTACCCTGACCCTGACCTTCTATGTGCTCTTGCTGCTGTTGGTGTCACATGTTCAAGATTCAACAGGGGTGGAGCTGCAGGTTCATTCTCTACTCATCTTGGTGGTGGTCCTGCTGGTGCTGGTGTTGACCATGGAGCTGTGGGCTCCCAGAGTGTTTCACCTCTCATTGATGGAGATCTTTCTGTTTCTGATGATGGGCTCCTGGCTGATGCAGGCAGGTTTTATTCTGTACAAACCAGTCACCGGCTATCCATGGCAGGATGATGACATCAGTGACATCATGTTCGTCACCACCTTCTTCTGCTGGCATGCGATGATCAATGCTTTGTGCCTGTTGGGAATCTATGGAGTGTCTTCCTTTTGGCATCATTGTTACAGTCCCAGCTTGAAGCTAACAGGATGCAAAGAAGCACCATATTACGGGAGCACTGAAGGACTCATGCACAAATTACTGCTGGAAGTGGAGCAGCCGGAGAAAGATGACCAAGCTCTTCTCCTTCCAGAGAGCTCACCCTGAGACAGGGCCTAGGATGCCTGGCACACTGTCCACCCCTTCTTCCTCCTTGTAGGTTCTCTGACATGAGCGTTGTAGCCTCTTTGGTCCCCAGTGAAGGTAATGGCCGTGATAGAGAGCAGTTGGTCTCCATCTGCTGGTACATCTCCTGTCCTTGAAGCTCTAATTGCTGAGGAAATGAGAGGGGGCTGAGAAAGGGATGCTGATGGGATTGGTGAGGTGGGGGAAAGAGGACCAGGGAACTAGATAAATGTGCAAGAAAAGCCATGGGAGTTACAGAATGCAACCCAAGATTGGCCTCTGAATGGAGGAAAACGGAGTCCAGCAGTCATGCTGTCACCAGCTGCTTCTCTGGGCTTTTATTTGAGGAATAAAGACTTCTTTCTCATAAATCAAAACTGCAGTAGTAGGTGTTTCTGTTTGCCAGCTAAAGTGACACTATCTTGTAGAAACAGATATCATCTAATTCACTTCTCCCACCTGGATGCAGTTAAGAAGAATCTCATCTATACATTTTTAAAACTTGGGTAGATAAGCATTGTTTCACATTTTGCACATAAAGTAAGAATTAGTACTTTCATATCACAGTTTTTCAAGTTCCTGTAGACCAAATTTCCATTAAATGCTACCACGTTTCTTATTCTTGACTTCCAATCCAGCCAAAGCAAGGGCTTAGCTACTTGTTTAACTACCACCAGCCCCACCAGCAATTTCCGAGGCCCTAATTTACTCTATCCTACACTTGTGCCTGTGCCAGAGACATTGTACAGCTTGGAAAAAGCCATCACCAGTCACATATTTACTATAGTGTTGTTTTATACCTGGCATTAAATCTTAAACTACTACCACCAACAATGCTTTCTCCAGAAAATTCTCATATGCTCTTTTGATCTGAACTCATCAGCACCTCATATAAACCTGCCTTGTTATTTCTGCCATGCTGCCGACACATTCTTTGTCCTGTTTCTCACATTGTCTCTCATGGGGAGGTTTTGCCTTACCCACTAAAGGCAGTCTCCTTAAGAGCAGAAATCTGTCATATCCTACTCACCTCATTTGCTCTGCATGTTCCAGAGGACTATAATGCTGCCCTCTACACTTAAGGATTAAATTGCTTTAACCAACTCTCATAATACATTATAAATATTCAATAATTAAAGCTTTGGTATAGGAGCAAACAAGTACCATTGGCCCGTAAACCAACATAGTGTAATAGGCAGTCCAGAAACAGAAATATCGTGTGAGGATTAAATACATGTTAAGAAAGGGCTCCTCAATTAATGTGAGGAATAACTGGCTTTCCATTTGGGGGGTAGGGGGAGCCCTTAGTTTCTACCTCAGATAACACAGAGGAAAGAATTATAGATGGATTGAAAAGTTAAATATGAACAACAAGACTATCAAAATATTTTAAAGGATATAAAGGAAGATATTTTATAATAAAAGACATAAAAAACTTTCTTGAGCAAGAAAAAATTCTAAAAATATTACCCATTTTATTGAGCTTTCCCATAACTAAAAGACACAAGAAAAAAATAAAAGGGACACTGTGAAGAATATTTTCAACACATGTAACAGACAAAAAAAGAAAAAAAAATCAGTACCCCCTATATAGAGATGTTTTAACATTGACAAACAAAATGCAACCTAATATAAAAATGGGCAGAAGATATAAGTGTCTAGGGCTCAGAAAAAGAGCAAATGGCTAATAAAAAAAAAATTTTGGTGGTTGTTTTTTTGAGAAAAAAGCAGAATTAAGTAAATTAGGATCTTTTTTCACTATCAGGTTGTCAAAAATTATCATAAGTATTAAATAAATGATATTATCCATTGCCAGAGAAGATGTAGGGAAAGGGTTATCACACTCTGCAGGTGGCAATGTAAATTGGTCTACATTTTCTTGAAGCCAGTTTGGCAGAGTGTGCCGCAATTTAAATGCATATATCCTTCCAGCAAACAGTTCCACTTCTTGCTACCTGCAGTGGACATCTGCCATGTGAGCCTAACTACACCTTTGAAACAGCCTTTAAACATTTTGATCAGTTTCCATATTACCAGGCTTGCCTTCCTGGTAGATTTTTGTTTTTAACCTCTGGCCTCCCTTGGAGCTAGCTGGGGTACAGGCATGTTGCCAATTAGACATGCCCACTTAGGACTTCAACTCAGAAAGTGAGCAATGCAAAGAAATGAGCTCTGCCTGGGGTTTCTGTTCTGAAGCAAGAGTACTGGCAATGATGTCAACCCCTGTTTTTCAGCATTAAGCTGGTTTGCCCCATAGTTCTGGGGTTGGTGCCAGAAGCAGCAATCTAAGCCCATTTTGACAATGAAGTTCTGGGCACTGATCCTTCAAATTTAAAATGGAATCTCTTTCTCCAGCCCCTAATGATTCTGTGAACGAACCCATTTATTTTAATACAGTCCTTTCTCTTAAACTAGCCAGAATGAAGTCTTGTCCATAGCCGAGAACTCTAACATAGTATATATCCTAGAAATACTCATACATCTACACAAAGACCATGTACAAGAATGGTCACTGAAGCATTGTTTCCATAAAGAACTCTAAATAAGAAATGCTTGTCAATAGAGGAAAGGTTAAATAAATTATGGAGTGCTATGCAGAAGTTTAAAGGAACAGGGGAGATCTGTATGTCCTGACATGAAAAGAGCTTCACAATGAAGCGAGAAATGCAGAAAATATAGGGCATATAGGATCCAGGTTTTGGAGGTAGGTGTGTTCTTGTTAACTTCATAAGGTCTTAAGTTTTCTCCTTACATCTGTCAAGTTTTCTCCTTATACCTGTTAGGACCATAGGGTAACAAGGAGAGAGGATATATTGATGAGTGTAGTGACTTGTTTCACTTCACATACCCTACAACAAACTCTGTCTCCATCTGAATAATGATGCAGTTGGATTTTAACCTATAACCAATGCGACCATATAATTTAGCATTCAAACCTGGAAACCTGAGAGGCAAAATTAATTCTTGCACCTGGATGCGAGGTAAAAATCAAACTGCTCCAGACGAATTGGGACTTAGAGTACCCTACCTCTGGCCTAAAAAAGACATGCTGTATGTTTTTAGTTTGTCCCCCAAATTCGTCTTCCACCTCCATCCTGCTCTCTCGCCCAGGAGACCACCCTGGTCAGTAGCACATCATTTGGCTTCCTTACCCTCCGGCTTCAGGCAATGCTAAGCCAATGATGAGTCCCAGCACGAGGATGGAGAAGAGAAGGAATTTAGGGTTTTCATTATCTTAGCTCCAATCTCTGGGGTCACCTCGGCTGGCAGTACCCCAATACCATGACACCATCGTTATTAGTTTCCTAGGCTGCCCTAACAAGTCACCACAAATTTTGTGGCTTAAAACAACAGAAACTTATTCTCTCACAGTTATGGAAGCCAGAAGCCCAAAATCAAGGTGTGGACAGCATTAGTTCCTTCTAGAAGCTCTCAGTTAGAATCTGTTCTGTGTTTCTCTCCCAGCTTCTGATAACTGTTGGCAATATCCAACATTCCTTGGCTTGTAGATGCATCTCTCCAATCTCTGCCTCCATCTTCACATTGTCTTCTCCTCTGTGGGTCTGTGTCTCAAGTCTCCCTCTGCCTTTCTCTTATGAAGTCACATGTCATTGGATTTAGAGCCCACCCTAAAGCCAAAATGATCTCACCTTGAGATCTTTAAGTTAATTATATCTGCAAAGACCCTTGTGCCAAATAAGGTCACATTCATATGTTCCAGGGTTAAGATTTAGAAATATCTTTTTAGAGTCCCCCACTCAACCCACCACACTGTCCTTGCCCATACCAGGAACTTCTGTCCCATGTTCCTTGGAGCCTAGAGGAAATCACAGCTCCAACTGTTAGTCAGCTATTCCTGTGGTTGCCTTACACTCAGCCCACATCTATGTTAGAAGTACCTTTTTAAGGTCTCCTTGAACTATCCCAATTTGGGTTGCCATCTATTTCCTATTGGGACCCTCTCTGAAATACTAGTAGAGTAATCGCACAGAAGACCAGAGCAAATGGGAGCTTGAATCCTAGAACTGCAAGGAGCTGAATTTTGCCAACATCCAGTGAGCTTGCAAGAGGATCCTGAGCCTCAGATGAGAATCACAGCCCCAGTCAACACCTTGATTTCAGCTCTGTGAGATTCTGAACAGGGGGTCCAGCCAACCCATATTGGATTCCTGACCCATGGAAACCATGAGATAATACATGTGTTGCTTAAACTCCTATATTTAAGTTAATTTGTTATGCAGGGATGGAAAGCTAATGCAGGTTGTATTAGTTTTGAGTGAAGGTTTATCCAGCATGGTTCGGGGATGAGAAACACTGCATTCATTAAGATGTGTGGCCCTGTCACTGGAAGATTGTATCCAAAATGAAGCAGAGATCCTAATGAGAATGAGGAGCTTCAGGTCCATTGAGGTCTTATGCTCTGTGTCTATAATCATAAGGCAGCCTTTGTGAATTTAGTTTCTTGGGCCCCAGAAACAGTGGCTTGGGCAGAGTACAGGAGAATTCTAGACTTTGAGATACTAAGGCAGAGGAGGAGGCTGGGTGGGAATAATCAATGTAACCCTTTGGATGTTTGTCGCATCAAAATTCATAGTCAGGAATTGAATTTACATGAGCTTTCAGTGGGCCTCTTGGGGGGTTGGTAGACAATGTATATTAATTAACTGATTTAAAAACAGATAAACCCTTAAATCTTATTGGCTTAACAAAATAGAATGGTATTTCTCTGGCACTCATAAAGTCAAATGCCAGTATTTCTAGTTAGTAAGCAGACTTCTACCTGGTCTTTTAGACATCAAAGTCCTCCCATCTTGTGACTTGGTTCTTCTCTGGGCCTCATAGTCCTCTGTACCCGTTCAGGATGAGCAATAGGAGGGAGGTTTCTATGGGCCACGTCCTAAAGTGATGTACATCGCTTCCACACAGGTTCAACTGGCCCAAACTCTCTAAGCAGCTGGGAAATGTGGTCTCTGGCTAGGCAGTAACTTCCCAGCAACCCTCTACATTGTGGGAGGGAAGCAAGAATACAGTGATCAGACAGTTTTATCTCCCACGGGGAATTTTGAGATTCACGGTGGGATACCTAAGTTGCAGAATTAAGCATCCTGGACAAGAGGGAGTGAAAGCTAACTCCTTATTTGGGGACGCATATTCTGATTTGGAAGAGGAGAGAACTATGGAAAAACAGACTCAGGGTCCTTAAGTTCTGTCTTCAGCCTAGTCATAAGGGAAGAAATAAATATAACAGAGGTAAGGTAAGAATGCGCTTCCACCTTGCCAAAAATTTCCAGAAGAAAAGGAAATTTGCAGCCATTGAGATGTGATTGTTGAAAGGTACTTGAAATCAGTTATATAAACAGTGAAACCTAAGTCATGGTTATGCAGTGAAGTACAGAAAATTTCACAGTATTAGAAAATTTCAAAGAGGAAAATTATGAGCTGGTACACCAGGAGAAATAAAGCATATACGTCCTTTAAAGCTAAGAAATTAGAATGCTATTTTCCATCTCTCCTGAGCCTTGTTTTGGTGCATCAGTGGCAAACCCCAAGGCTTAGTAACCCTTACTTGAAATAAGATGAAAGTCTGGTGCATGGACATACCTGTTGTCTCTGACCTTTGCCGATTTCCATGGACGCACTCCCTGTGTGGTTCTGCTCAAGCCCCTAGCCTCTGGCTTTCTCTCCTCCTATGATGTATTTCTGCCTTGCAGCAAGGTGAGTTGCAATCATTTTCTGAACATGGTGATGAGGAAGGCCTTCCTAAACAGAAAGGAGGTAAATTAAAAGGTGCTTTTAGACAGCACTATACTGAAGTCCCCCAGCCATTGAGAAGTCTATATTGTGGCTCTTCTCGATGAGAAGTCTATATTGTGGCTCTCTCTCTTCTACATCCTACATGAACTGTTCTTTTCACTAAGACTGTGAAATTCACTCAACACTGTCTAAATCGTCGCGATCCAATATAGCAGCCACTAACCTCACACAGCTACGGAGCCCTCGTAATTTGGCTTGTCTGAATTGAGATGTGCTGTAAGTATAAAATACATGCCAGTTTGAAGACTTAGTATGAAATAAGGAATATAAAATACTCCATTTATAGTTTTTATAACATGTTGAAATAACATTTTAGATACACTGGGTTAAATATAATATCTCATTAAAATTAATTTCACCTTTTTATGCTTTTTTAAAGTTGCTGTTAGAAAATTTGAAATGACAGATGTGACACTTGATTTCTATAGAAGAGAGGTAGTCTAAATAGTGTTTTAATATCTGTGTTGTATGTGTGTGTGTGTGTGTGAGCATATGTAGAAGTGTGTGCCTTCAACTAAATTGCAAGCTCTTTGAGGATAAGAGCTATGTGATATACTTTTTATATGCCCTGCTGCACTCAGAATTCACAGGAGTAAATTCATGTTTCCTAAATTCCTGAGGACCTTCTTGCTCATTCTAGCATTTCATGCCAGACTAGTGGTGGCTGTGCCTGGGACCCCTCAAGAATGTGGGGAAGCAGCTGGGGGAGGAAGATCTGAGGGAGCCTCACCGTGGAGGAGCCAGGCCATGGAGGACCTCCTGTGGTCAAGCTGAGCTTTTCTTAGGAAACAGCTTCCCAGGAACTCAGTGCCCACAGACTCAGGACTGTCTGCCAGTTCTGCTAATCATTCACCCCCTTTGGCTTCCTTCTTGGCTACTTGTGGGCAGTGTCTGGCTTGGGATGGGCGATTCTTATCTTCAAAGTCGAGATCAGGATGTTCATGTTTCAATGAACATGTAGTGTTGGTGTGTGGCCAAGGAGGGGGCCTGAGCATCCCAGATGGGACCTTAAGTGGGGCTACTTGTCCTCATTCAGGCCATTTTCGACTGTTGGGTCATCACTGTTGGGTCAGTGCTGCTCTTCTCTCTCCTCCTCTGGCCACTGGCAACCAGCTCATGGCAGCCAGGAAAAGCCGGGGAGATGAGTGTGGGAGCTGGGGTAAGCTCTGTTGCCCCCACCTCACTTGGACCACAGCCTCAAAGTACTAGAAGCAACATTAAGAATGACCAAGTGCAGCCCCTCTTGAGGCCTACAGACCTGCTGATACCTAGAGCAGCAATGGACCCTACGCTTCTCCCAGAGCAAATCTAAGAACCACAGAGAACCCCCGGGATTCTCTCCTCCCCGACTCACAAAATCTGTCACTTTGGATCTCCTTTCTCTAAGCATTGAGCTCTACAGTGCTCTCCACGTGTTTTGAAAATTCACCAGAAGGGAAAAACAGACAGGAGATAAATATGCTCACATCTGGATAGCAGTATTCATGCCCTTTTGTTTTCACTTTAATAGAAAGTTAAACACTCAGTTTTTTCAGATAAGGGGTATGACATTTAGTAAATCAAAGGGAGAACTGGATTTAGAACCCAGATTTCTGACTCCCTGTGGACACATTTTCCACTTCCTCTCGCTGCCTTCCTAAACTGTTTCTATACCTCAGTGGCGACAATGTGACCTCCAGACTGTGGGATTACAGATGATTTTTTTTTTAAATTTATCTTTATTGTTGAAAACAGATGATTTTTAATATTCTTCTTTTCGCTTAGATATTTTATGTTTTTTCTACAATGACATATATTGAATAAAATCACCTAAAATTAAAATTTAAAATAAAAAGCAAATTCCTTCAGAAAGCAGAATTAAGTTTTGTTTTTCCTGCTTGCCTTCACACTCAAATCCCCATCCCCACCAAATCCCTCAGTAGGAAGAAGCAATCTGAATTATTGCCATACTCAAGGGCAGAGAGAGATTTAATTTTTCTGGAATTAAGTGGACTTGAGAAAGTGTAGGTATTTTGCTCAGAGGCAGTGCTATGTGACCTGGGTGTGAATTCTCCTCCTCTCCACCAGGGGCGCTGTTAGCATGCAGGTGCTCCCTCTGCTCCACAGCATTGCTTGCACTGTGGGGATAGATGATTTTACAGGAGACTGCGGTTAGCATGGTTCATGTTGAGTGATAAACTTCCTCTTGCCTCAGTACTCCAGAGAAACTCTTATGCCCTGCGCTTCCTGAAATACACCCAGAACCATTTGTGGGCCCTGAGCATGCCTCACATTCCCTGTACTTTGTTTTCCACCATCCTCTGCTTTATATTCATCTGGCTGTTAGCCAATACCTAGGACTCCAAGGTCCATGACACTAATAATGGATAAATGAAGCTAATGGGCTAATTCACATTAAAATACAAATGGCCGACACCAGCTCACTGGAGTCACTCCTCTCAACAGTATCTGCATCTTAAGGATTATACCTAAATTCCTTGTATGAGTTAGGGATGCGTCATGGGAGCAGTGATATGGAATATGGATGTCTTACGGTTACTAGACCTTATGCATTTGTAGTGGAGAAGTCTGTGGAACTGTTGCCTCTCTGCTGTATGATGGGCCTGAGATCATTTCAGGTCAGTGTGGCAGCAGCCAGGAAGAAGTATGTGACATGAAGGCAGGGAAGAGCAGGGACAAACTGAAACCCATGAGGACAAAATGGAGCCCGTCTGCCTCTCACCGCTTCACACTTCACTGGCAGGTGACCTGCAGAAGCAGCTGGTGCCCTTCACACTAAAAGAAGCTAAGGGAGCTACAGGCCTGGCTTCCGGCCATGCCAAGAAGGCGAGCCAGCAGACCACTAACCGAATGCATGAGCTACAGTGGTGCCTGGGACCTACAGCTTCAAAGTGTGCTTAGGTTGCTGCCTCACTCCCACCTTCAGATTCTCAGGAAAACTTCTCTTATAGCCAGTGCAACCTGCGACCATATAGGGAAGGGAATTCTGGGAAACATAGCTCAAGCTTAGGTTTCTTCACTACAAAACCACCACTGTTCCTAAAGTCATATCAAAAGGAAGCTTTTTAGATCCAGTAGAGGTGTCGAAGTGGGGGTAAGAGTTGGGCAAAGATGTGAAGAGGTAAGGGGAGGAGGTGAAGGGAGCTTGCTTGGTCATTTTCAAGAATGTGTCTATAAGAGAACAGAAAAGCCAGTTGATGATAAGTATGCATTACAGGGTTATATATCCAAATGTTTATAAATATGTGTCCAGAAAGAAAACCTTACAATTGGACCCAATTTATGTCTGAGGGGTACTGAAGGATATTCAAGGGCTTGTGAGTGCATAGGCTTCCTCTGGATATCACGGCAATCCCTACCCTCCATCCCATGTGGTCCTTCCTCTTTCTGCTTTGAGTGCTGGGCGCCCAAGGGGAAGGAAGCCATGGGAGAAAGGGACAAGTGTGACCTGAAGCACCCCAAGGGCCATAGAGGGGAGCCCCTAAAAACACATTGATCAACTTTCTTCTTTGGCAGAAGCCAGTTGCCAATGTACCAGAATGGAATGGAACAAAGAGGCTTTATGCCACCAAAGGTGTAGGCTTGATTCAAGAAACATTTCCTCTCTGTGGGGTGCAGTGGGTGGGGTGAGATGATAAAAGACGGTGGAAGGCAAATTCTTTCCAAAGCCCAGACCTTGGAGTGGCCCCAGAAGTTGTGGACGTGCCCAAATTTTGTTCTCTCCTTCGTTAGAACAATCTGTAGTTCAATGGGAAACTTTATCGGTCATGTGTACCCGGGGCTGTTTCTATTTTCATACGGACTGTATCAGGCAATACTGGTCTCCAGAGCTGTGATATTCAATGACTCTCTCCTGAATCCTTCATGTCCTCCAAGAAATAAGGGAAGATGGGCCAGGCTGTGGGAAATATCCTACCGAGGTTTGTTGAAAATAGTGACGGGCTCCACCTTGATAGCTTATGAGAACAGATGCGTTAAAGGAGGGTTGATACTGATGAACAGGGATATGCCACCAAGATTTATGCACCCCAAAGAGTGGCAGCACCTCACCATGTTCATCCTCCTCACCCTCAGTGGCTGCGTAGATGTCACGAGCAAGAACTTGCTGCCTCAGAGGTGTGTACTCCTAGAAAAAGGTACCCTGATCCTGACCTTCTATGTGCTCCTGCTGCTGTTCATGTCACATGTTCAAGATTCAACAGGGGTGGAGCTGCAGGTTCATTCTCTACTCATCTTGGTGGTGGTCCTGCTGATGCTGGTGTTGACCATGGAGCTGTGGGCTCCCAACGCATTTCACCTCTCAATGATCGAGACCTTCCTGTTTCTGATGATGGGCTCCTGGCTGATGCAGGCAGGTTTTATTCTGTACAAACCAGTCACCGGCTATCCATGGCAGGATGATGACATCAGTGACATCATGTTCGTCACCACCTTCTTCTGCTGGCATGTGATGATCGATGCTTTGTGCCTGTTGGGAATCTATGGCATCTCTTTCTTTTGGCATCGTTGTTATGCTCCCAGCTTGAAGCTAACAGGATGCAAAGAAGCACCATATTACGGGAACACTGAAGGACTCATGTACAAATTACTGCCGGAAGTGGAGCAGCCAGAGAGAGATGACCAAGCTCTTCTCCTTCCAGAGAGCTCGCCCTGAGACAGGGCCTAGGATGCCTGGCACACTGTCTACCCCTTCTTCCTCCTTGTAGGTTCTCTGACATGAGCGTTGTAGCCTCTTTGGTCCCCAGTGAAGGTAATAGCCGTGATAGAGAGCAGTTGGTCTCCATCTGCTGGTACATCTCCTGTCCTTGAAGCTCTAATTGCTGAGGAAATGAGAGGGGGCTGAGAAAGGGATGCTGATGGGATTGGTGAGGTGGGGGAAAGAAGACCAGGGAACTAGATAAATGTGCAAGAAAAGCCATGGGAGTTAAAGAATGCAATAGAGGGGAGGCCTTTGAAGAGAAGAGTCCAGCAGTCCTTCCACCTACCAGCTACTTCTCCAGGCACAAGTGATTGCCTTCACCTGAGGGAATAATGATTTTTTATAATTCAAAACTAGAATCATTCAAGTCTATCCTGATAAAGAAGAGTGGGCACTTCTGTTTGCTCACCAAAATGGCGCTATCCGTGGAAATAGCATAAACAGAATTTAAATGGGCTTACACAGCTTGAATTTGTGCTTTTTTTGCCCCCACCCCACAAATTCTTTAAGGATTGGGTTAATTCCAAATTCAAATTAATGAAGTGAGACTTTATTAATGCTTTAATATAGCAACATTTTAAATTTGTAAAACTGAAATTTTTATAGAATCCAAACGTTGAATATTTCCCCAACTTCACATTTTGTTACTCCTATTCCAGCCAAAGCTTGCCTTGTTCGTCATCATCCCGTTGGCACATGTAATTTACTAGATTCTGTCCATGAGCTTTGGCAAATTTCATTCCCTTATCTCCCAGAAAGCCATCCCAGAATCACATTAATCACATTTTTATCATGTTGTTTGGAACCCGGCATAAGACCCACCTTCAACCTCACACCATGGAGCACCCCCAAAGAGGCCTTCTCCACTCTGACCCCTTTGTTCCGGAAACTCTTAGGCACCTATACTAGACCCACCTTGTTCATTTGCTCATACAGCTGATACACTTTGCTTTGCTCTGTTTCTGAAATCTTACCCTTTGGGGAAGCCTTTCCTCAGCACCTAAAATGTAGGCTCCTAAAGGGTAAAGACTTTGCCATATCAAATTACATACTTACCTATGTATGAGCTGACTGTGTAGCATAGGTGAAGCTCATTAAAGGCTTATTTGCTTTCAAAATCTCTGCTGACCCGTTTCTTCTAAATGTGTTGCCAGACAGGTCTGAAGTTCCGTGAAACTCTGGAAGACACCAATCACCCTAAAGACTAAGTCATCTCCTTAGTCATGGGCCCACTCTCTTCTTCATTCTTGGGATAACAAAATCCACTATTCTGTTTCCGAATTGTTTACTGTGTTAATTACTGTGTTTTATAATTCTCACAAGCATTTCTACAAGGAACCTCCAGAAAACTGAAACTCAACAGGTTGACTTGCCCAAGTCTTACAGCTAGTAGACCAAGACAGGAATTCAAGTGCAGGTGTGTCTGACTCAAGCCAGTGACTATGTCCTCTGGGTCACAGTGATTTTGCTAATGGCAATGGAGAACGGAGTGATCCTCAAAATGAAATCGTTAAGAGAAAAAAGAGCAAGCAGCACAGTGTAAATACTCTAGAACCCCCTAAAAGGTGTGCCTATGTCTCACTTTCTGTCCACCCCCCAGCCCTACCCCCAGGGTTTCCTTGAGAGTCTGGCTGACTGTCAGCTTCTGGCTGGGTCTTAAATTTCTGGGCTCAAATCCGAATGAGGGCCGAGGATAAGACTTATTTGTGACCAAGTTTTCTGATTCTTGCCATTTCCCCTTCACTATTGGTTCCTAGACTTTTTTCAATGACCTTTCTTGGAGGGTACCCCTTTTCTCTTCACTCTTGTATGCACTGATGCGAGAAGGCGAAAAACCACATGTGCTGCTTGCTGACCATTTCTAGTCACCTGAGGCTTAATTGTAAATCACAAAGCCACCTCTGGTAATCAATTGATACCCCCAAAATAATACCTCTTAAATATCCAGTATAGGCAATAAAGTTACCTATTAATTTACTATATTTGAGATGCAACGGAGAGGCCCTCCTCTTGAAGGCCAGTCAAGAAAACAACTTCCCACTCTATAGCTTGGAGGGAGACACATAATTCTCAAGAGTTCCACCAGAGGGCACTATGTTCACACCACCCCAGCTAAGCCTCTAGCTCTCCAGTCTGGTAAACAAGTCTCTCAAGAACCGGTTTAAAAGTGGGGGAAGGACAGAGGAGGTCAGGAAAAATACAGAACCAGTCTTAGTATTGCCCAAGCATCCAGAAAACATACCCCAGGGGCTGTTTGTTTCCCATGAAAATTTAGCATGTGAATGTGAAATACGGGGATGAGGGAAGGAGGACTTGGACCCAGTTGAGGACATCTTTGGGAAAAGTACCCACTAAAAACGGGCACACTCTAATGAGGACATCTTTGGGAAAAGTACCCACTAAAAACGGGCACACTCTAATCCGAGTAATGTTTTGACCACAATGCTGAATCTCCTAAACTTTTTCATAAGCTTCAACAGTGCTCCCATCTATCTAGAGAACAAAAGATAGATCCATACATTCATTGAGAATAAGGAACCAGTTTTTATCTGTGAATATCCCAGATTCACAAAACTGAAACCAGGGGCCAATTATTGAATATGAAATATGATCTCCAAAGATTCCTTTAAATAGAACCTGCCATAAAGCATCTTTGTTTCTGGTAATCTAGTTGTTTGCAAAGAATATACTGAACGTCTGCTGAATGGAAGGCACTAAAACCCACAGTGTAGGCCTTAAGAGGTAAACTGACTGGTCCCTGCACTTGGGACTTTGCTCAGTGGGTACAGTAGAGATTTCAGTGTTTTGGAGGTGGTGGTCCAGGCATGCACTGTCCACAGCCTGACACTACAGAAAGGGAAAGACAATAAGGCTCTCAAGGGAGTTGTACCTTGGAAGCACACAGGCTGTGAAATACTGCATGAAGGTGACTTCAGCAAGCTACTATGAGTTATTGCGGCCTCTGTTTCCTCACCCTTAAGACAGAATAATGTGAAGATCTAATTCCAGAATTGCAAGGCTTTAATTTTCTCAGTAGGACTTATTTTCCCGTTGTTAACTGAGATGAATTTAATTCTTCCCAACTCTCCAAGCAGTTTCTTATTGGAGACAAGATTTGGGGTAGGGCTCAAACAGACCCAAACCTTCAGCCATAACGTGCAGTTTGGGAAATGGAGGTTTCTCTGCATTCAAATGATTTCAAGGAGCCTTCAACAAAAATCAGGCTAAAGAAACACACCTGAGATTGAACTTCTCATTTCCTAACCTGAGCTTAACAATATCAAACAATCAGAAAGGATATAAAGAACAATTTTTCTGTGTTCAGTGTTGGATACTGAATTAAGGGGAAACCTAGTCTTTCCTCTTTTAATTGTATAATAAAATTTGAAAGCTTGGCCAACTGCAGCTTCTTCTCTAAATCTGGTTTAAGAGTAATGACATTAACTTCCAAGACTGTTTATTTTCTTCTTTTTGATTTTTGTTTTAAGGTTATATGATGGTCTACTCTTTTGAAAAGAACTGGTATTGTTTTGTGTTTTTGTTTATAATTTTTTTTAATGTCTTTATTCATTTCAGAGAGAGGAAGGGAGAGGAAGAGAGAGAGATAGAAACATTAATGATGGGAAAGTCATTGATTGGCTGCCCCCTGCATAGCCCCTACTGGGGATCAAGCCAGCAACCCAAGCATGTGCCCTGACTGGGAATCGAACTGCCCTCTCCTGGATCATTGGTCAATGCTCAACCGCTGAGCTACACTGGCCGGGTAAGAATTGGTATTGTTTTATTTAAAAAGAAAAATAGTTGACAATTTGGGGTTGGGTTTCCAGGGGGTTTCTGAAGCTTGGGTCTCAGCTATGTGTCTTCAGCCTGATTAAAGGGTTTTGTCAAATGCCTGTTGAAGTCATTCAGGTACAGGGAAAACTCCATTTCTCAAACTATACGTATGGCTGAAGGTTTGGGTCTGTTTGAGCCTTACCCCAAATCTTGTCTCTAAGGAGTGCAAGGCAACCACACAGGCCCTGGGAAGGCACCTCAAACTGCCAGATTAAGGACTTCTAACCTGCAGAGTGAGAATGAGTCCCTCAAAAGAGATAGAAATTGAGACGTGAACTCACAGGTAAACCCACCCAAGACAAGGCCTTTATTTCAGAAAACAGAGCGACATTGAAGAAATGCTTTTAGTCACTGGCCATTTCTTAGATTTGGAACAAAATCTTTACCTACAATAGTGGTCTCCCACTCCACCCACCCCTTAGAGACTCTATGCTAAGAGACAAAAACCTGACTCCGAAGCACATGTAACAGAGCCCCATCGGTTTTGATACTGAGTGTACCAAGAGATGGAAGAGTTCGTGGGTTCGAGCATTCTAATGCCCTTTTTACAGAGGGGGCGGGGAACAGGGGTGGATGGCAATTTGGGGAAGAAGAGGAAGGAGAACAAAGGGCAGCAGATAGAGCAAACCCAAACTGGGTGAAACAGGCTGTTCTACTTTTAACTTCTCCAAAAGTACAGTCAGGGTTTCTGGGGGCAAATCAGTTAGTTAGTAAGAGGCCTTTTACTGCTTTTTCTTCCCTCATACTCTTTTATGATTCCCTGATCAGTTCTTGGACTCCTTTGAGCCCTATTTCAGTTGGTTTAAGTAAGTGTAGGGAGGGGCAAAGAGGACAAGGCCTTTTGTTCCCTTCTGAAAGACTCGGCAATCGTGTATTATGTTGCTAGCCCTGACAAAGTATGTCCCTTGTCACATGAGTGGCCCAAAGCAAATCCACTTCCATTCTTGGAAAAGCAGCTCAAAGCACGTAGCCTCTTGGTGCCGCTGTCATATCTGTGTGGTCAACAAGCATCACTTATTGAACACGCACCGTGGATGCTCCTGGGAGACACAAGACGAATAAGCTACTCAGGGAGGTTAAGATACCTAGCAAGGGAAGCAGGAACTCACAGGTCAAAATACACCATAGGCTAAAAAACCTGTACTTGCTTCTACTCTTCCATTTTCTATTATGCTTGCCATCCCCACCTCCGGTGCTGGACGGAGGTGGGGGAGTACAGCAGAAGGCTCTGGTTTATGCTTAGGTGGTTTGGCATCTGGGAATCAACATCTTTTAAAACAAGAACGTCACCTTTCACTTCTGCCACTCCCCCTCCTCAGCTACTTAAATTCAAGACTTAACAGAAAGAAATGGACTGAAGACA